TCCTGGACAGTACGGCTCTCGCTCGGTCCAGGACGTACTCGAGAGTGAACTCGTCTCCGAGCCCGTCCCGAACCGCAGCTTGCGCAGCCTCCGGCAGCCCATTGACGAAGGTGATGGCGATAGCTCTCTCCGGCAGACCTCCCATCAACTCAGCGAGCTGCTGCAGCGCCGCTAAGTACACATCCGCCGTCTCTCCGGGATGAAGGCGACGCCGAGCCATTTCCGCCTGCGCTGTGAACGGGTCCATGGCGAAGGCCCTCAGCAGCTTAGCCTTCACGCTGGGCAGCTGATGACGAGTCGCTGCGGGCATTCGAGACCACACCGCGAAAGCACCGCCGCGCAGGCGAGTCGGCAACACAGCCATCAAGGACACTGATCGCAGCTCGCACAGGAGAGCAGCCTGCTCCAGCCACTCCACTACGTTTCCAGTTCCGTCGAACTCCGGAATAGTCCTGGCGTCGAACGCCGGAGTCACCTCCATCACCGCTCTTCCCGCGGTGTCACTGGTCTCCTCCTCGACACTCGGCATCTTCTCACCACTTGTCAGAAAAATGCCGAAATAGCTTGTGGCATTCAAACTTTGCGTCTATCGTAGACTGTATTTCTTCACCCTTCAGACATCTCAACGCGCACAACACCGACCCGTCCTCTCTCTCTCCCGCCCTGCTCTCCACTGCCCGCCCGTCTCCCAATGTCCAGCCGGGCCGCCCGATATACGGGCCGGCGTGTCCCTGCTGCCGCGCACATGTGTGGCCATAGACCTCCATTTATGACCACTTATGACCCGACGCCGACCCTACGCGACAAGGCTAGAATACAAACTACGTGAACAAACAGAGAGACACACAGTAGAACAAGGATGCGGAGTCGCCACCCGTGCGTCGGTCAATCTGGCCGCGGCGGAACGGTGGTTTACCGGTGTGTGTGGGAGGGGCGGACAGGGGACCCGCAGCATTCAGCACCCCACCCGGCCTCCCCTGCCGGCCCGCCGCACAATGCCTTCTGATGGAGCGTAACTAACGGGCCAACCCGCTCTATTGGAAACTAATACCGCAAGTCAGCGGGCGGCTGTGTGTTCGGCCGGTGAGCAGCCCGCACGCTTCCGGTCGCCGAGGGGAGTCGTCTGTTTACCATACGAACGGTGTCGTTTTTCTGGGCGTTATCGGTCCGAGCGGGGTCGGCACGGCGAAAGGTTACGTGTTCGGGGTGCTCTTTTTACATGGTGTGACCGACCAGGGGCGAACTTTATCTGTAAATAGTGCAAACCTGTTTTAAAGGGACTGTTGCGCTGTGTAGATGACACAGGCGGAGTATGGGACTTTAAACGTACCGAGGCTATCCTATCCCTATCCAGGATATAAGCGAAAAGTGTATAAAAAGAAAAGAATAACGGCAGTATCCCGAGCGAGTCACCTGTCATTATCGTCGTTCTGATTTGTAATGGACTCTGAATGAATCTCCTTTCAGTAATTTTGGTTGCTGGCTGCCGGCTGGAGCAGAACTGCGGACGCGGTGGCAGTGACAGTGTTGGGATAACCGCCTCAGTAGCTGAAAAGGAAACCACTTCGTTAACAGGAATGCATACATAGTTAACTAATTTCATATAGTTTTTGCTTACATCACTCCGCGTTCTTGCAAATTTGTAGGTATTCGATGTAAGTGTAACGCTAATTTTCTATGTATAAAGTGCTTGGTATAATGGCGAAGTTTTCAGGTCAGTTAATGGTTGGATGTGGAAACTGAGATTGACCTAGGGTATTCAAGCGTAAAACTCTTTAGTTAATATCTACATTGTCATCCGTAGGCATTTTTTCTCATTATTCCAATAAGCCATTGCAGACTGCAGTTACCTCGCTCAAACGTCTCAATGTTTTTTTTTCGTGCTACCTTTTTGACGCCTGCCGTAAAAAACACATTGCACCCAGTAGGGTGTGTCATCAGTAACAGAACCAAATGCCGTAAAGAAATTCCTTGGCACTGAGACCTGCAAACACACGGCATAGCAACCGTTTTTGCAAAAAATTAAAATTCGTGCGGCGCCAGCCGTTCAAAGTTTTGGCGCCTGGCGTTGCAGTCTCCAATGCTGAGCGGCACCCAGCACTGCGAGTAACACCAAGTATTGCAGCAGGTAATAATGCAAAATAACTACCGCTGAAAATGATGCTTTTGAGCGCTTCTAAGGCTGATTGTTGCAAAAAGCATGTCATTAGAGTGTCCAATTACTGTTTTATTGTGCTCAATGAATTAAATCGAGCATTGCTACTGAAACTAAAGAAAAAACTGCCCGATTTTGAGAAGCGGGCGGGGTGGAACTGGAGGCGGATACGGGAAGTGACTCAGATTCGTCTTCTGAAAACACCGACTCCGTGGCATCCTCTGGGCGGTGCTTCTTCTTCTTCTTCTTCAGCATGTCATCTCGTGTGACCCGGCCCGTCTCCACCAGGAAGTCCCGGATGAGTCCAGCCTCGGTGGAAAGGATCTCCCTCAGCGTCGGCAAAGGGCCCCACGGGCGGGTCCGTGGCCCCTGGTAGGCGGGGTAGTCGACCAACAGGTGTTTGGCCGAGTCCGGTTCGTCGCAACGGACTTTCTCGTCAGACTCGGCCGGACCGAGTCGGAATCGGGTGTCTCCTGTGAGTGGGGAGCAGCTCACGCGGAGCTGTGCCACTGTGATCGACGCTCGGCGGTCCAGTTCTCTCTCCGTGGCCCAGAGCGCCACATCGTCCGCATTCGCAGATGTGTACCTCCAGTTCCCGAGCCGCAGTTATAGCCGGTCATACGAGCCTGCAGGGTTAGCGTCCGATGGCTGCGTTGATCCTTCAGGAAGACAGCCTCCTGCTGAGTGACTCAGTGGGCGATGAGACTTGTGCACCTGCTCTGAGAGTTGCATTTGCATTTGGCGATATCCAGGAGTTGTTGAATTATGCAGTGGCGGCGCTTTGTTCCTTCCTGTGTCTCTGGTGTTTTGTTCAGAAGTCTGTAGGGCTGTCTGTAGGGCTTATAGCAGTCCCTTTTGATCACTTTCGTCGTGTGTTTTACATAGATCGCGAACAGGGATTCCTTCGTTATGTAGTTCAGAGTTGCCTTGTCCTTTTTTCGCCACGGCCCTAAATGCACTATTTGTTGGATTTCTTCTTTGAGCACTCAGCCACCTGACATAACTGAAGGCCTCTGCTTTAGTCAGCAGTCGCTGTTGGGACAAAAGTGCCGGCTGTCCTATCACGAAATGTTTTGTACGCGGCCGTGTCACTTTCGGCAGGGCCCTATGCTATCCGGATCATAACTCACGAGGCGAAAAAACGTAGCTGATTAGGAAATGCCCATACGACAATTATAGCACGACACAGGGAACCAGCAAAGCGCCGCCACTGCATAATTCAACAACTCCTGGATATCGCCAAATGCAAATGCAACTCTCAGAGCAGGTGCACAAGTCTCATCGCCCACAGTCACTCAGGAGGAGGCTGTCTTCCTGAAGGACCAGCGCAGCCATCGGACGCTAACCCTGCAGGCTCGTATGACCGGCTATAACTGCGGCTCGGGAACTGGAGGTACACATCTGCGAATGCGGACGATGTGGCGCTCTGGGCCACGGAGAGAGAACTGGACCGCCGAGCGTCGATCACAGTGGCACAGCTCCGCGTGAGCTGCTCCCCACTCACCGGAGACACCCGATTCCGACTTGGTCCGGCCGAGTCTGACGAGAAAGTCCGTTGCGACGAACCGGACTCGGCCAAACACCTGTTGGTCGACTACCCCGCCTACCAGGGGCCACGGACCCGCCCGTGGGGCCCTTTGCCGACGCTGAGGGAGATCCTTTCCACCGAGGCTGGACTCATCCGGGACTTCCTGGTGGAGACGGGTCAGGTCACACGAGATGACATGCTGAAGAAGAAGAAGAAGAAGAAGCACCGCCCAGAGGATGCCACGGAGTCGGTGTTTTCAGAAGACGAATCTGAGTCACTTCCCGTCTCCGCCTCCAGTTCCACCCCGCCCGCTTCTCAAAATCGGGCAGCTTCTTCTTTAGTTTCAGAAGCCATGCTCGATTTAATTCATTGAGCACAATAAAAAGAATAATTGGACACTCTAAGGACATGCTTTTTTGCAACAATCAGCCTTAGAAGCGCTCAAAAGCATCATTTTCAGCGGTAGTTATTTTGCATCATTACCTCCTACAATACTTGGTGTTACTCGCAGTGCTGGGTGACGCTCAGCATTGGAGACTGCAACGCCGGGCGCCAAAACTTTGAACGGCTGGCGCCGCACGAATTTTAATTTTGGTGGACTCGGATATGGATGAAAATTCATTATTGATCAATGTGCCAAGGAAAAACCTTACGGCGTTTTATTCTGCGAGAATCACCTCCTCGATGACACACCCTAGCACCCAGCCCAGCAACATCCCACCTGATCTTGAAAAAACAAAACCTTTAGTTCATCGGTTTAGTTCCCAAAAGGAAGGATGCAATGGAACACCCAGGGTAATGGATGCTGGGGCAATCATGCGAGGGCAATGTTGGTCCGAGTCCTTAACGACCATAAGCCTTAAAGGTAAGCAAGGACATTTGCATATTTTTCTGCATTTCTGCCTATTTCATTTTTGCGTGCGCATTCCCCGTTTCATAAAGGCGACGCTGATCGGTTTCGTGTAATCCCCAGTTTTCCCATTTGTCGCGTGAGCTGTGAGTAATAACATCGTCTGATGGAGCCGCTAACACCCTCACTCAGACGCCTTTTCTTTTCTCCGACGGCTGTTTCATCACCACTCCATAAAATGCTAAGCCCGTCGTCATGGTGTCTTTGCAACGTTATCTCCCGTCTGGAGCTCAGAAGCCCGGCCCACCTCAGCCGTCTCATCCTGTTCCACCAATCACAGCGCAGCAGCGCATCGGCCCGTGTCGCCATTGGTCGCCGCCCGCCGGCTCCCACGGTGAAGCCCCGCCCCCCATCGCAGTTTCCACGAGTGCCGGTGGCGTTCGTCACATTCATTGCGACACGTGCCGGGCGCACGTTGTTTGCCTCGTTACACGTGTCGTGCACGTGTTGAATCAATTGGCAGACTTGCTTACACGTGTAGCCACCTGACACGTGTCATTGTATACTCGGCACGTGCAGTTTTCGCAACAAGTGAACTGTGATTTATCTGCTTTACCTTGATTGGCGAACGTGTTACGCAAGTTGACTTCCCAGGCAGCGTCTCGAGCTCATTTACGGCACTGCAGTGGGACTCGGGCGTTCGGCGCGTGTGGGGCCGGCCACTGGCCAGATCGGGACTCGGGTGCTGGCGCCTGGCGAGGGTGTCTGCCGCAGCTCCAGCCGCCCCATGATCGTGCGAAGCGACTCCGCCATGGAGAACCTTGACTATGAGGCGCTCAACCGCTGCTTCTTCGAGTCTCACGAGTTTTGTGAGTTCATGGAGTCGCCCATGTACGACTCGTGCTCGTCCAATGACGGCTCTTACGCGGGCCGGACCGGCGGCGGCGCTGACGGGGACGGCGGCAGCGGCGGCGGCGGGGATGCCGGCTCCCGGCGGCGGCGGAGGAGACGGTCCGGCGCCACCCAGCAGGTCCACCAGAGGCACGCGGCCAACATGAGGGAGCGACGGAGAATGCAGAGCATCAATGACGCGTTCGAGGGACTTCGAACTCACATCCCCACACTGCCTTACGAGAAGAAACTTAGCAAGGTCAGTCACAGTGATGCCGGATGTCTATTCTGTTTTTAAGGGAGCCGAAAATGTTGCTTTTTTGGGTGTGTGAAGACGGCTATGAGTAGTTCTTCGCCCCATTGGTTAGCTATCTGATGAAAATTTTATTAGATTACAAGTCACAGTGTTTGCCTCACATCGATAAATAATTTAAAAGATCGGCACATATGATTAAAAAATGAAAAATACAATCTTCAATTTAAATGCAATTAAGCTACCTACCCGTAGATTTTGAGATTAAATGTTGGCGATTATTTTAAGTCCTCTGGCTTTAAACATCGTGGATATAAGGCATGCAAAAATTGCATACAAGCAAAAGTTGCATAGAACCGTTTCATCTTCCTGATGTTTCGCCTTTTTCTATGTCGCTCCCCCACAAAAGCCGTTCTGCCTATCGATCTGTCCACTCCACAAGTTTGCCCAACTCGTGGCAGATCTGCCTTCTTCCGTCAGTGCTGTAGTTGATAAACCCCAAGGCTGATTTCATGGATACCTATGAACAATTTATGACCGGGAACAATTTCCAATTTGTGATATTATCAAAGGCGAACAAAAGGGGCTTTTTAGGGCATTTAGGTACCCTTACCGCAGCGTCTGAAGGGAACCAAAATTCACAATTATATTGTTCTCGTCACACAAAAGGTAAGCTAAAATCTTGAAAAAGAAACGTTTCAGGATCTGTTGTTTCTATGGATACCTAAATGACAAGTTGACTTCATTAGGTACCTAATTGTTATTTTTACTACTGAATCGAATGATTTATAAGGGGGTCACCTTAAAATTTAAATAAAGGCAACCAGTGAACCAGATATAATCCCCCTCGCACCACTGCACTGCACTGGAGGGGGGGGGGGGGTCGGATGGACTCGTCGTTCGGATGGATTTCGACGCACACTATCCGTGCGTTTCCAGACTTTCAGATAAGAAACGTGCCGACATGTGAAGTTATGTTTTTCCCAAGCATTATCCCTCGCCGGCCGAGGGTGGGGGGATGCCGCGCCCCCCATAGTTTTTTTTTTTCGTGATAGCTCCGAACATACTGGCGATAGAGAGCTGAAACTTGACATACCTGACCTTTGATTCAAGCCGGATCTTTGGACACCAATCGCATTTTCGGGTCAGGTCAGGTCACTGACCTATGACGTTATAAGTGAACCTCTGCACGGTCTTCAGATGTCGCAACTTCGCAACGCCCTCACTGCCAGAGGAGCTTTCACAGGGAAATGAAACTTGCAGGATCTATTATCCATCACGAGTCTCGCATTTTGTATATCTCGGATTTTTCCTAAAGGTCATATGAGGTCAGGTCATTTTCGTGACCTCACCATTACCTATAAGTGAATGGGGAAAAATAAAAACTGCTATTCTGGCGCCGGGAACGATCTCCAACTATCTCAAGCACACAGAATCGTGATTTGATGCACTCCTTGCAAGGTTAGATGCGTCACTTTTGCAATGTTGACCTTGCGTGATGTCATTTATGACGTCATCAAGGGTATATTAGTTTTTCGTCAATAACTCCCGATCAAATTGAGCTAGCGAGTCGGGAAAGCCACCAATGGACTCAGGAAGACCTGCTGAATCGAATGATATGCGACATGGCCTCTTTCGACCAACTTCGTGACCTGGGGGCGCTGACCTGACCGTGACCTGAGGCCAACAGTCAACACCCTAAGTTGTCCTGACCCAAACAAAAAGTAGGTATATCATTCGACGCGCCTGAGCGAGGCGAACATGATGCTGGCAAAGTCGCGGCTCTGCGGCAGTTTTTTTGCGAAGTTTATCACCAAAAACTGAACCGTACCCTGGGACACTTGACCTGACCTTAGAGGTCACCGGTTGACCTAGAACCTTAAAATCGGGTAGGTACCAATTTCTGCGTCGTTACGACGCATACGCTCGTTTTTTCCGCGACGCGCTAGCTCCACCAGGGGCGAAACGGCGAGGGGGGGTCGTACTCGCCACCCCCCCCCCCTCGGCCGGCGCGTATGTAGAAAACCAATAGGTCCGGCGAGGGTTATGATGGGTGTTCAGGTCACTTGAAGGTCACTGGTCAGGTCAAGGTCATTGATCTTTGGTAATTTCGGGTGACTTAATTAGAGTTTTATGACTTTTTAGGGTAGTTTTAAGAGCTGATTAGTGAGATGGAACTTAGCACTCGTTTCAGGAATGGGTCAATTGAATTTCCAGCTGTTCAGCCCCTGATCGAGCTGGAGCTTTGCAGGAAAAACAAGCTTATCAAGAAGCTAGTGGTAACCAATGTCAGTTGGTCCTGAGTGCATTGGTTGACCTGCCAATGTTTTTGCCATCGATATCTTGTGGTCCTGATTTCGAACTTGGCGTTCGTTTTGTTTTAACAAAACGAACGAATCATTTGTTTTGTTTAAAAACAAATGATGTGTTTGTGCAAATGTGCATTTTAGGGTAGATCGGAGCAGGTCAGGTCGGGTCAACTTTCACGCGTCCTGCCAGACAAAAGCCAGGCATTTACCACTACTGGCAACTTCGCCACATAAGTGTGAACTGTCCCGAGATAAAAATATATGTCCCTAATTGCTTAAATCAATGTTTAATTTGTAATAAGCTTCACAAACTGCTATAAAACTTGTCCGAGGGGGAGTTATCATTGTTGTTGTTGTCAAAAGTTGTCAATTACCTGGAGTCTGGACCTGACTTTCATGTTACAGAGACACCCGCCCTAATCCACAGGACAAACAATATTTCATGATTTTGACACGTTGCCAATTACACAAAAAAAAAAGATCTGGAAGTGCACAGATAATGTGCGCTGAGATACCTCGAATTGCCATTCTGAAACCATTCCGAAACCTGACATAGCCTCGAGAAAGACGTCACAGGTGAAAAGCCACTTGAGTCAGGGTCATCACTTGGATTTTCTAGTACCTATTATTTTCGGTCGTGGAAAGTGGGGTAAGACGGGCACCTTAACTTTGGAGCCATTTTTCGGCCGGTTAGAAACATCATAGAAACGGGAAACTGAGTGAAAATCTTTTTTAGACATTTTACTTCCATTTGCCAGAAGATAAGACTTAGACCTGATTCAACAAATAAACTGCAGCTATTTTTGCAAAACCTTGCAAAAACCCGTCTTACCCCACCCCATGGGGTAAGACGGTCACATGGGTAGGGCAAGACGGCCATCTTCTTTCAACGACCAGCACAGCTCGCAACAAATGCCCGAGATTAGCCGCATTGATACAGTCACTCGTTGGTCTCAAGTGCTTCGGAAATGGCAGTATACGAGATACGTGCAGAAGGCGTAGGGGAAGGTTGGGTAAGACGGACCAGCTAAGGTTTGAGGCCGCATATCTTGCTACACTGCTCTCGTAATTCATATTATTTATAGTCTTCGGAATGCTCAATCCTTCCTCTGTTGATATGTGTAAAGAATAAATTTCAAATTAAAGACATCTAGGTTGTCAAAAACTCAGACAAGAAAAAACGTGGGGTAAGACGGACCACCCAGCAGTGCCTGCTATACGTTCATGTGTGTTACACTTCTGCTCTGTACTCTTGTAAGAAAAAGTAACCAGAATGGTAAAATAACAAAATGAGCCTTTATTCTTTACTCATGTGTGATGAAAGTGCAGCTAAAAGCTGGGAACATGTGTGTTGATTGTCGTTTGGTATGAATGCATGCTAACTGAGCACTTGCATGCATGGCTCACATGCAACAAAAACTCCTCCCTGAAAAATTAGCTTACTTAAACTTGTGTCAATGTTTTGGAAAAGAACTTTCCATATGCAGGGTACAATGGACCACCACAGGGTAAGATGGACCACAATGGTCCGTCTTGCCCCAAATCTAAATTCTGTCATTATCATGACGTATATGACAAATAGCCCAACATTGCAAAACCTTGCCTTTCCTAAAGTGTGATTATAACTAAGTTTATAACTTTGTTCTTCACAGTTAAGGGCAAAATAGAAACTAATCATGCAAGAAAGGCACCGTAATTGAATCACCCGTAGACCTCTTATATTAGATCGGTTTGACGAAAAACAACATTTTTCTCAATAACTCAAAAGCTATGCATCCTAGCAGCATGAGCTCAAGGTGGCCATTGTTAGGAAGGAAAACAAACATAGTGAGTGCATAAAGCAGTAGATACCAGCAGCGGTTCAGCCGGGAGGGCTGGTGGTCCGTCTTGCCCCGATGGGCCGTCTTACCCCACCTTCCCCTATGCTCGTATATAGGCCCTGGTTCAGAAGCCATGTAGAACCGTTTTTCACATTCATTATTCGAGAATAAACTGTGCCGAAGGAATATTGCTAACATGTCTGTGATTATCGGGATCGAACATATTCTTATTAGAAATGCTTCTTTTTTTCCGACAACAACAAAAATATTTTCACCATTACAGACCCATTGGATTCATAGTTGCCCGTCTTACCCCAAACTCAATGTCAGAAGTTCAGAATGATTTTTTGTGTGGACAATTTGATGAAGACAAAGCAAATCCGCGGTAAATGAACACTGGTGGCGTATGAGTGTACCACAAGTGATTGCGAGTTTTTAACTCTATAGTGCTGCACACAAAAGCTTGCACAATACATTGTTGATGTTTTCAATGAAATGAGTGTTTTAAAGAAATCAAAATAAAAGATTATTGACTGAACACAAATTTACAAGACGTCAATGGTGGTGTGTAGTGGGAAAGACAATTCTGGTCCTAATTTTTCTCGCTCGTAGCGCTATTGGTTTGGTCTGCAGAAGGGGTGCCCGTCTTACCTACCCTGACCGTCTTACCCCACTTTCCCCTATGTTTAAAGTTAGCAAAACGAGAAAGCTGAAAATTTCGAAGCTAGCCGCTGATTTTTTGGCGAATAATTCGTGAAAAAACCCCAACCGATGGGGTTCATCTGACCCCCTATCGTATCTATCCCGAGGGTTTAGTACCTACTTCCGCGTTAGGCGGCACGGGCGGACATCGATAGCAGCGCCTCTATCGGTCACT